ACAGAGTTCAACGGAAGTGATAAGTGCTAGAGAGGCAGTGGGCGGGCCACACCCAGAGGGGTGCCCGGAAGCCATCACCTTCACACCTGTGGGCTGACTGGAGGCAGAGCAGAGGCAGGGGTGACACATGGCCCTGGAGGCAGGTGCCCATCTAGCTTTGTGGGGGTTGCAAATACCAAGTTGGGTGTAAGCCAGGAGTGTGAATAGTATTTAAAATGAAAAAAGGAAGTCCAGCTTGGTCCCTTCTGAGGTCTCAGGCAGTTTTCAGAAAGGGCTCGTAGAGCTGCCACTCTCCTAGCACACTCCACGGCTCCCACTGCGCCTCCGGAAAACCTGCGAGGCCCTGCTTCTGTGCAGCTGCCTGGCGGGCTCTGAGCTGGGGAAAGGGGAGGTGGGCCGGCCTGGAGTGTTCTGGCCTCGAGGGTTCTGACCCACAAGGCTTCCTGCCAGAGGGACAGGGTGCAGGTGGAGGAGAGGAGGCAAGGACTCGGGCTCCGAGAGGGACAGTACTGCCATCCTCGGGGCTGCGGTCAGTCGCGTAGGCCTCACACAGGCTGAGTCCACTGTGGAACGAGGGCAGAGGGTCAGAGCCCCAGAACCAGCGTGGAGGGGGAGGGAAGAGTAGCCGAGGCGTGGAACAGGGAGGCTGGGACTGGCTGCAGGGCGCGCGGGTGGGCAGTAGCTGAGGGAGCAGGGCAGGCGGGAGCCAGTGTGGCCACGGGGCTTGTTCAGGTGGCGCGTGGCTCCCGGGAGGACCCTGCAGAGGGGGACACAGGCCGCCTGAAGTGTCAGTGCTGTTGGTGTCCGCGCAGGGACACCTGGGGGCCTCACACTCCACCCTGGCATCCTGTGCCGGTGGGAACCTTTGCTGTTATTCACCCTCGCCTCAGGGCTTTTCCCCATTGATGTTAAAAGAGAGCAGAAGGGAGGGGGTGACAGAGACATCGATGGGTTGCCTTCCCCCACGACGGACTGGAGATGGAACCTGCACACACACTCTGGGTAGGTGCCCTGACAGGCAATCAACCGGAAACCTTGTGAACGGATGATGCTCCAAATCCAACCAACCGAGCCAGCTGGCCAGGGCCTGAGGCCATGTCTGAGCAGGGGCAGCACAGGGCAGTGTCCCCTCTGGGAGGGTGGGAGCAGGTCTGAGGCCCAGCTTCCTGCCTGGAGGCAGCTCTTGTTTTGCAGCTTCGCCTGTGCCCGCAATGCTGGTTCGGGGCCGCGTGATCGCGTGGAAGTCCAGCTGCCCTGAAGTGCCACACCAGGAGCCCGTCACACGGAGAGGTTTTGATCTTTTCCTTGGTAATTTTACTTTTTAAATTTATTATTTTCATGTACATCCCCCGTCAGTCTGTTCTCTGTCTTGTTGGTTGGTTGGTTGGTTGTGTTCTTTAGATCCCATGTGCGTGGGCTCATGGTGCTTGCCTCTCTGCCTCACCTACACTGAGTGGCCAGATTATTATGACCACCTGACGTTTATAGGCAAATTAGCCGTACACTGCATCGTATGGGATATGGAAGCCGAAGGCCTGTTCGAACACCTTTGCTGTCTGCAGTTACCAAGATAAAACGTCTCCAATTTGCACAGGAACACAAGGATTGGACAGTCGAGCATTGAAAAAAAGTCATGTGTCTGATGAATCATGTTTTCAGTTGCATCATGCAGATGTCAGAGTGAGAATTTGGCAGAAACAGCATGAAGGCATGCACCCCACATACATGAGTACAACCCTTCAAGCTGGTGGGGGCAGTGTTATGGTTTGGGGCAGGT